ACTGACCTAATATTGAAAGGTGAACATGTACAGAGGACATCAGACCTAATTATAAATAGGACAACAGGGACAAAATACATCACTAGACTGTATCAGTGAAGACAATACTTTCCTTGAGAGCAAAGGGCACAGATCTTGTTACAAGATTATGCAGATTTCTGTTGCCGCTTTTGACATAAAAAATAATCAAAACTTTTTTAATGAAAGACATTGAAACACTTTCCCCCCCTCTCAAAATTTAATTTTTGTTATAAAAGGAACAAAATATAGAATAGCTAAAGTTAATCTGGGTACCTATTCTTTAACTCAATTTGGAGGTAGGAACTAGTAGGAACAAGCATATTTTCATGCTTTTTGCTATTTTTATGAAGAAAAAGCAAGCCTTCAAAATCTCTGTGGAAATCTGTTAGGATGATGGCATTAATATACTTGCATTGTTCCTCTCCATAGCTTGCTGATGTCTGATAGTGAACACAACCAGTTTCTGCTACAGACAGTAGATCTGATGGCCCTCAGCACTTCGCTGAGCACTCAGCAAGACTCGTGATCGGACCTCTGGGTGGGAGGGAACACAAACAACTACATGTGTATCTAATGTGTCTAACCCAAGTGAGAATAACTTCTTGTAAAAGGCAGTACAACACCATTTCCTGGTTTAAAAGGCATTCTCATCATCAAAATATGCTTTAGTATTGCTTATATGTATTTTCTAATTCAATCTTTTGTGCAGTATCTGGAAATACAGTACAGCGGTAATAATGTAATTAGTATTTTCACTAGCTAAATTATAGAGCTGACTGCAGAATACAGCATAGTAGCATCAATATTAACAGCTAAGTATTATACAAAAATGACATCAATAGTTTTAGTATAGTCATGAGAGACATTGTAATTTCCTCTTTCTCCGAGATTGCTTCAAATTGTGTCAGATGAAGAAACTCACAAAATCCACTGGCTTTTAGTTCAACTCACATTCTAAAAGTCAGCATATCAAAGATTTCTTAGGTAAATTTTTGTAGGTTCTTGAACAATATTTCTTTCTGAATATGGTATTAGTTATAAAGAACTTAAGTTCTGCTGCATCCTCTCATATGAACTTAATTTTCGCAGCACTTCTGCAAGTTAACAAAGGAGTATAACAGATACTTCAGAGCTGAAGATGATGATACACAGGGATTTGTAATAACTATCCAAGACCATAAAAGCAATCCTATGTCGGTGCAAGAAGTGAAACCACTGGCTTTGCAATCTAGTGCTACTCCATATTGCCCTTCTACCCTGGTCACATAGTGAGATCTAAAACTCTAACAACCAAGATACTGGACACCAAGCAGCCATTAAGGAAGATACCGAGGCAAGCGTGCTTTCACAGATTCCTCACCCAACGGAACAACAGTCAGTCACCCCTACATGCCCAGAAATCCAAGGACTCCAAATTACACTAGGAGCCGAAGGCTATTCCACTGCATCTCCCATGTCTAAAACTCCCTTTTTGGGCTAATGCACAACTCCCTAGACCAAATCAAGAACACTGAGGATCTACCCACGCTCCATCCACTTCCTAATTACAGTAACTTTCTGCTTTGCTTCGCAAAATGAGATTCATTTCTTCCTTCACCAGTTCAATTCAGCTCCTTCAACGTTTTGTTCGTTTGTTAAGATGCAGGTCTCCAGCAGATTGATCACTTCAGAGGAGACAAAGCAATCCCTTGGTAAATCCCTCTGGAAATGCAGAACATATTATATGCACAAGAGGTGAACTCCTTGAATTTCCCCTTTTCAGATCCTCTTGGTTTCCAGTCATTCAGATAAAGAATGGAGCTTTTGTAGGCCAGTTAATCCATCCACTGAATGAAATATGGTAAAGTTTTACACATCCACATGTTCTTTCAAGGCCCTGGTTTACATCTGTAGATGTAATAATAGCTGTAGTAATGTAGACAAAAATCATGCTCGGGCCTCCAGAGAAGATCTTTAAAGACTGGGGTTGAAAAGTCCCAACGCTGCAGTCAAAGGAACTGGCAAAATGATTTAAGGGTGGTCTCTGCTTACATTTATTTCTGCAAAAGCACTGGCTTAATTTTCTTTGTGTGTCTTAATAAGCCACCTCTGTGAGAGGGACTCTTACTCGAAACGCTTGTATGTCCTAAGCTCAGAAGCAGGCACTGAGTTGAGTGGTAAGCTGAGACAAACATCCAAAGGTGGTGTCAGGCTCAAGCTGCAAAATGAGCCTGCTCTTCATCTCCTCTAGCATCGCAGTCACATACTAGCACGAAAACAGCATTTACACAACGAATTAAAATGCAAATCTACATTTTATTCTATGAAATTGAGACAAATGATACACACTTGAAGTCTGCCAGAGTAGCAATTACAAACGTTAATATAGTTTTAGATGATGACTTAAGCCAAATGAGAGGATGGAACAGAAATGCTGTGCCTCAGAGCTTGTGAAACACTACAGGAAAGCGGCTCTTGCTCTAGTAACGTAAGCCTAAAATACAAATTAACGATAGTTCTGCTGTAAAGGGCTAGATCTGCCTTGTGCAGATGTGCAGCTCCAGGGAAGCCTCCAGCCCCAAGGTGTATGTACGATGCACGGAAGCAGCCTGCCAGCAAAGGAGGGCTGAAGGTTCTCAAAGTAGGTAGGAGAGGACTTTGCACTGCCACAGTCTAATGGGATGTGGGATTGTCCAGGAGAGAGTCCTGCAACAAAAGGCCAAACAGTTCCACTGGCCTAGGACAGACCTGCTTCGCTAGTGTAAAGATGTATTTATCCTAGGTCTGATTTAGACTGTGCTCTGCACAATCAGATCGCTTTGAAGGTTTGCCTGGTGCAATCATTTCCTTTGTCAGGAATCAGAAAAAGACTGTGAAAAGACTGTGAACAAATTGTTTAGGCATTGAAATTTAACCCTGTGGAATCCTTACAGTGTAGCACAGTGTGACACAGCAGGAGCACATTTGTCAGGGGACTGAAGCCTCTTTGCTCTCTCCGCACAAAACATATACATTAGCATTGTGTGGTGTGGGTGTGCTCCCAAGCACATGATGCAGCCATGGGTACGCAGCTCCATGCCTACCCTGCCTCCCATCTGCACTGCAACTGCATTCAGCCCTCCAAAACGTTACTGTTCCATTAGGGAAAATAAAGGCTTCAGATCTTTCAAGACTGTCCGGAAGCCCTTCCATTACAATTTCTTTTAGAGACTGTACAAGATTAGATTTTTAAATATCCATAATGCACATCAGAAAATCATTGAGTATTACAACAATCTTTTTAATAGACCTAATGTTTTTCCACTAGTGTCCTAGCATTAATAATGTCAGAATATAAACACAAAAAAAAACAAAAAGGCATTTGGTAGAAGTTAGTCAGTTCCAAGACTCTTCACTCTGATGCGGGCTAAGGAAAGAACCCAGCTGGTGTGGTTTCTGTATCAGCATTCATGACACGAACAGTTTCCATCTCAGCTAGGCTCCATACAGCAAGATACTGTGCATCCCCTGCTCCTCCTGAAGAGCAGAGCCCAAGAGCACCAAGTACCTCACAGCAGGAGCACAGTGCTCTGTCAAATTAAACTTTAACACAAGATAGCCCATCAATGCTTTTGTGAACTATTGAAAAATATGCTGACAAGAATAAAATAGTCATTTGGAATTTGGCAGAGAAAAGCCACTCTAAATCATTTCCAACTGCACTAAGTCTTTGCTCCTGTTTTACGAGTAATAGAAGAGACTATCCCTGTTTTATAAGCTCATTCAGTTAACATGTTTAAGAAAGTAGACAAGTTTCTCTCCTGTGGGGGTTTTCAGATATTGTCTTCCCTTGTGGCTGCCAGTATTTCAACATCCCGTTCCAGAAACAGTTTATTACTCTTGGGGGGAAAAAAATAATAATAATAAAAAATAATTTTAAAAAAACACACGCACAAAACTGCTGCATATGAGGAAAAGAAAAATGGTTAGAAGAACAAAAAAATGGTAAATGACAGTTACATATTAGGGAATACTAAAGGGTTGTACGCTGCTCCCTGCTGCTACAGTACACCAGAGGAGTAAGCAGAATGTAAAAGCATTTTCGCTTTACATAAGAAGGCAAAAACATTTCCAAGATGTTCTACAGACAGGCAAGAGCTCATACCTCAAATAACCACCATGTCGATGGGATCCGCAGCTTCAAGACTAAGTTCTGAGTGTGTTTCAACTCAATTCTGCAGCAATTTCAGCTCTTCAGGAGTAAGCACTGAGCAGCCTTAGTTCCATCACTCAAATCAGTGGGACGCAAGTAGCCTCAGGTTTCCTCTGAATCTGCTCAGAACTTCACTAACAGTATTCCTGCAGCCAAGCAATCTCCACTCTTCTGAGTCGCACAAATTTGCTGCTGGCCCAAATGGAGCCGAACCTCCCAGAGTCTTTCCCTTTGTGTCTGTGGAAGTTCTTAGTTCACTCTGTCCTTTCCAACAGGAACAACGATGTATACACCAAACAGTATATTGCTCCTTCCCTCCACAGTGAATCCTGCTTTAATTAGGAAGGGTTTTGCAGGCAATGTATTATCTACCATGTCAGGACCACCACACTCTCGTACGATGCAGAATTCAGCCCTTTTATCATCATCAGATCTGATTATTTCTTTATTTATCAGCTACTAACATGTTTGGAGACGCAAAATCACATCACTTTACTTTCTGAAAGGTAGCAGTAGGAGATATCTCAGTGCAGAATGGATTCCATAATTAGAAAAAGCACAGGGGCCAGCTTTTTCCCCCTCATCAAGCTTGGGAAGCTCTAAACAATATGTGAAGGCAAAAGGGGAAAATGGTTACAGTACTGAGAAGGCTAAAATTTGAATGAGATAACAACAAACCTTTCTTGTGGAAGGAAAAGGAAATGACTGACTCTAAAAAAGCTTCTGTGATAAATCATCACCCCTGCATGAAATTCCATTCATATATGCTGCAATAGCTGGTAGCAATGTTAAAGAAAAACAAAAAGGAACAACAACTTATTGGCAAACAAGTTTATAAAGAACAAAATGTAACTTGCTGGAATTGCTGAGCTCTTTCAGTAGTTCATACAGTAGAAGGAGATTTCAGAATCAAACAGGAGTTTCAACAGCTGTATTTGTATTACAGTCACAAAGGCATAAATGTGAAATACAGCTCTAATAAAGAACTGAAGTTTATAAAACTGGATGGTAATTTTCCACCCTTTCCAGAAGTATCTCAGAATATCCAGGGGAATAATACCTGAAAGAGAAACATTTTGTTTGTGCATTAGACTACAAGGCATGTTATGTGCTAACTAACGAAACACTATTCATATCTCTACTGATGAGGAAAAAATCCCAGAATTAAACATTGGTCAAGGAATTCTACAGTTATTCCTCTACAATGCTTTAAAATCCTGCTTTTCAACTTACATGATCATTTACACTTGGAAGTCAGGTTTTCAAAAATAAGTTTAGCTTCTTTTAGGGCATATAGGTAAGCAGCTAGAATTTTAGACAGGTTCAGGCATTGTCTTTACTGCAAAATGTAGATGTTAACTTCTTTTGAAATTATGGCCTTTAACAAAAAAGCATGAGTTTACACAGAACTATAGGCTGCCAGACAACAATAGTCTACTGCTGTTCGTCACACATAAGCACACACCCCAAAGCTAATGTGAAGTCTACATCAATGTGAGAGACATTGTGATAAATTTTTTTGTTCCAGAATCAATGACCTTCTGTCTCTAATGCCAACTCAAGGACGGAGATTATCCAATAGGTTTTCATTAGGGTAGGACTCTATGGTGCCATTATTGTCCTGCTGTCATTCAGTTGGTTTTCCACAATGGACCAACTACATGCTTCCAATACGCAAGCATCACCAAAGCTGCATTTAGTTCTTGTTTTCCAGTTAACAGTATCTGAAATTTATTACTGTGTTGTTCTAAAAACATACATCTCAGTACACTTCTGGTTTTGCAGGCATGTAAATTGTCATCTCTGAGCCCTGGAAGCTTTAACTATAAAGAGAGGAACGCACGTCCACGTAACACATGCCTCAGATGTATTCAAGTAGAAATCCTCAATATTTTCACACTGAAGGAAGATCCATTTACCTTGTTGATTTTCATTTTGTGGGTGATTTCTGCATAACATAACCCTTTTTAAAACTCATATTAGTTCTCTGACTGTAAAGCTAACTTTTCAATGCATTATTATATTCAGTCTGTCAAGAGCTTAAAATAACAGGTCTCCAGGACAAACCAGAGCTGGAGTCTATTATAGCAGCTGTGCCTCGGGCAGCACAACCAACATCAGGCAGTAGCACAAAGAGGATAGCAGGAGATGCTCAAAGGGGCCCTTTTCTTTATTACATCCTAGCCTACATAAGTAACCTTTTTCATTTACAGGTCAAAAAAAACAGCTGTAACAAAGAAACATTAATTATATCCAGAAAAGTGTAAGCAAATGTCCTCTTTCCCTCTGACGTATAAGGATTTGTAGCTGCAGAATAAAGTTTCCTTACGATTTTGCTTTACCCATTTGACAGCCACTGGCTTTTCCTTGTGGAGACAAACAGGGCTTCATTTTGCGTGACTTACTTTGTAACTACTATTAGCTGAAGAACTCTGTTGCTATAATTAAAATTGATGATGCAGATTTTCAGAGCCTGTAGAGGGAGTGCACGAGTGCAGCATCCTTTTGATGTGCTGATGGAGTGAAGGACTGGTAAATGGATATCTAGAATCTAGGAGGGCATTTCTCTCATTATTACAATTTAGGATGGTGACATTTTGACTGTAAGCTATTTAATAGTGTTTCTGTATTCATTAAGGGCAAAGTTCAACTTGGTGCAGACAGCTGGTGTATGGTCCTTTTATATAACACTTAAGCCTCATGATGAGGCTGGGGGAGGAAGGGCAGCTGTGGGCAGAGCAACTGTGCAGGAGAGCCTCTGGACCCTCTGTACATCAGAGGAAGTTTCAAAGGAGCCTCTGAATTCACTAGTTCATATAGGCTCTTACGGAAGTCATAGATGCAACTAAAGAATCACCAATACCTGTACTTTGGAGCCTGAGTAATCAATAAATAAGTTACCAAGATAAATTAAACTTCTCACAGATGTTCATTAATACGAGAGCAGTTGTGCTGAAGCCTCAGAGTCTGTCTGGGTGGTACAGGACTGACTTTTCTTTCCAGTTTCCTGCAAAAGCCTCATTATTTGGGCTTTGTTTATAGACAAAGAAATTTGATTCCAAAAACAATCAGAAAAGAGAAAATGTTCAGAAGTACGTGTCTAGTGGTTGTGTTACCACTGAGGTAGTTATCCAAATTTTATGCTGTTTTATTAAAAACTAAATTTATGTAGAAGTTAAATTAATATTTTAAATCCTTGCTTTGTGCTGTTCCTATGAAAAACATCTAACAATATTATAAGTATGAATTTTTTAAATTTCATTTTCCCTACCTTACTATTTCCTCTGGATAGCAATTGTTAATAGTGTTGATATATTCCTGAAGAAGTGACCCAGGTTCTGCTTTTATTTCTTGAACCTTTTTAAGTCCACCAGTTGTTACAAAGAGACGACGTGCTTTACTGTCATATGGTAACACCTACACACAGAAAAGTATATTAAAAAACAAAAAGGAATATTTTCTTTTAAAGGAATCTCTATGCTACTAGGCTCAAATATTGTTTATCTGTTTTTAATTCAGAGGACAGACAAAATGGAACATCAGAGATACAGCATCTGTAATGACAACTGTATTTTAACACCCAGTTGTACAGGAAAAAAAAATTCATAAACCAGCCCTTTATGGTTATAACATAATTTAACATGTACTTTAATACATAACATATATAAAAATAACAAACTGAATATTTATGTTGACATAAATAATATTTCTTGAATTATTCCTACAGAGAAAATATGATTGTGGAGATTAAATAGATAATAAAAACAGAACACTAACATGGAATAACAACAGCATCTGTTCCACTTACACCAAGTTATTCAGGTCTTTATGTCAATTCCCACAGTTTAATTGTAGAGCAGCATTTTATATCATTATAATGATCTAGTATAGATCAGTGCATGAAAACAATACTGAGAATTGTTGCAAGTGAACAGTGCAGCCTTGAAGCATTGCACGCTACTATTAAATTCCTAGATATTAAAATCCTAAAACACACTGTGTAGCCATGGAAGCCTTTTACCAACACACACACACACAAAGCAAAAATGTGAAGTTTCTGCAGCCAAAGGGGATGAGAAGCAGAAATGATCAGACAATACATTCTGCGCTCCCTGAGTGATGCCAATATACAGCTCTGTCCAGAGGATGGGAGGGAGGGAGAAAGGGAGGGAAGTGAGGGAGATGGGGGGCTGGGTCAGACAAGGGAGAATGACAGCATGTAGTCCATAGGCCCACAGGGCTGCAATAATATTACACACAAAAAAAAGGCGAGGGGAGGGGGAAGAGAGACATAATGCAAGAAGTCAGCTGCATCTACAACAAAACCAGATAGGTTTAAAACCAACTCTGAGAGTTACATACTATGAGGGTAAAAGTATTTTGCAAGCCTTTGCCGTGGTCAGACAAATCAAGCCATAAATTTGACTGTATCTCAGTGTAAAACAAGAGCCTTGGAGCAAGGGACTGCCTGAACAGATGAAGGAAAAGAAGGATGAGATTTCTGCCACGCATATAGGCAAACAGCCTTCATTTCTCTGGTCCCTCTAGGCCATACAAAATCAACAGACAGGTAAAGAAAACACGCGAGACCACAGAGAATTCTCCCTGCTATATGCTCCACAGAAGTGTCAGGAACAACTGTGATCATTTTGTTGCAGGCACTGAAAAGACGGCTGTTTCCACGTATCTCCCACAACAAGAACTGCCAAGGAGGAACTAGCAAGGACACAGGATATGGCCCTTTCCCTGCCTTCCTCCTCCCCACTGTGACTCCCAGGCTGGATAAGGCAGCAGAAAGCTCACTTGGAAGACCCCCTAAAGACAGACAACACCTCTGAGACTCAGTCCCTTCCCCCAGTACAAAGTGAGACAGCACAGAATTGCACAAACCCTGAAAAGGATAATGCTAAAATGACAGTCCAGCACCAAGAATGGATAGCATCCCACTCCGAAGCACAGCTCGGAAATAAGGCTTTTACTGTGCTATAAATAAGCCCACAGAAGTAATACACCACAGCTCTAAGAACTGGAAATTCCCAAGCTATAGTACAGGAGAGAAAAATGCTTTTACTGCAGAGAACTTAATTTTAAATGTATACTTCAGAAGAGCAAATGCCAGACAAGTATAGTTTGTTTAATATAGCCCAAAAAAAAAGAAACTCAAAAGCAAACATCAGCTGATATGAAGGGTACCAAACCACTTCAACAGTAAACAACACTCAAATCTGTACACTGGGTAACCAATTACTACGCACTCAGCTCATTCACAGCTCCAGTCAGCACACAGAAGCAAAAGGCACCGGATTCTGTGCAAATCTCCAGTCTTTGTACAGACTTAGGAAGAAGACAAGACAAACCTAAGTGTGGCAATGTAATCAGGAATCTGCACTACAAACAGCAGTGCTTCCAGATCTGTGGTAATCAGAAATTAATATCAAGAGTGTTTTACTTGACCATTCCCAGAAAGAACACCTCACCAAGAGAACCTGGTACCCTCTGCTAACAGATTACACTGCAGAGTATTGCCCAAAAGAAAGGCCTATAGTTGAGCAGGATTCCCAACAGCTAGTGAACATTGCAGACATTGGAAATCTCCTGATTAGTTAGCAATTACTTAAATAATTTGAAGTGATTTTTATTAAATTGCAATTTTTATTAAATTGCATCACTTTTTATATGCTGCGCTTAAATCAACAATGTAATTAACAAGAAACAGTTTAGAACTTTGAGAGGGATGCAAAAAGATTTGGGATTTTTACACTTACTTAATTGAGACTGCAAATTCATGAGGACAGAAGTGGTGAAGCCTTTATACTGTAAATTATGGTAAAATACCTGAGACTTAAGTCACTCATGTACAGACAACTTGTACTTTATCTAAAACAGATGTGACTGAGATTTATGTGATATATTGGCTCTGCGAAAATATTTGCACGTGAGTTAATATTCCACTTAATCTCAAGAGGCAAGGAAGAAAAAAACCACCTTGCTTACAAGAAACTGTTTTCCTAGTCTTAGGATGAATTACAGCAGGTTCCAGATAAAACAGTATCCAGCTTTATCAGACAAAAGAATGGGATGCTCCAAACTGCTTCTGCATGGGATGCTTGAGCATCCTGCGAAAACAGCTGAGACCTTTAGAGAGACTTCATGTTGGGAAAGATAGCTTCCTTGCTAAACGGAAAATAATTAACATATTACTCATCAAGCAGAGCCTTTTCTTACCTTACTAAACTGCCCAATAATGTGTTTCATAATATTGGGAGGGGCATCATGCAGCAATGGTTCGAGTGCTGGAAGATACGTGCATTTCTGAAGGATGTTCTTTAAGGCTCTTTTAGTCTATTGAAATACAAGATAAAATTCCTTATAGTAAGACATCAATGAAAACAACAAGAATTCATGTTATATGTCACTGAAGTCTGATCAAAAACCCAAATTGATCAGAATTCTCAAAGAGCATTTGCTGAATAAAAACTATGATATCTCTCAGGTCATTTAATGAAGAATCAATTTTCTACTTAGATTTATTAAACCTCAAAACCTACAGTGCATCGCATTCTTATTATGTTATCTACAGTCAAAGTAATGGCAATTTTCCTTTGTCTACAATGGAAGCAGGAGTAGACCCTTTAAGTAAATTGAAGTACTGAAATATAATAAAAAAGCTACATCAAAACACATTGTAAAAGACTGTATTTTAGAAGTGGCTTACTAGGAGAGTCTGCTGGTCTGAGATAGCAAAGTGCACTACCATCCAGGCAGGGGGGGAGTGACACAGTTGTACATCAGTGCTTATTTTCTGAAAACAGACTCAACGTTGGCTGCTACAAGGAGTAATGACCTTACTGGCACAGGTAATTTGGCCCTGATGTGTTGGTGACCACTTAAAATGACTTTGCAAAAGTTATTTTACAGTTCTGGAATGTCATACTTCAGTGGAATGTACAGAAGCACAGTACAACATGGGAGGCCATATCCTGGAATATCTTCAGTCAGTTCACTTACTGTCATTCAAAAATACACTTTACCAAACTGCAACCCTACTAGTTCCCATGCAAGGAAGGCCCTAAACATAAAGAGCTGCATGTTTTCTAAAGCAGAGCTTTGAGCATTTGTTACAGTTTTATTATAATAAAAATGCAAGCAAACCTACTACAAGAACTATAATATTTTGTACAAGAGTTTCTATTAAAAAAAAAAGTAGATAATTAGAAATTAGTCACTCAAAAGAAATTATAGCATTTATGGTTACATGCAACTCTGACCTAAACTGCAAAGAAAATGAGGGACTAGACTGCTGTGGCTGTACCATATGATGTGGTATGCACCATACGCACATTCATTAAGATCTAATAAATGACATACAGCCTTCAGACACCCTGTGCCCAGGACATGTGTGACTGAATGAACATCAATAAAAGCACTTACCATTTAGCAGTTTTTAAGCACTTCTACCTGTGGATTACAATAAATATCTCATACTGCAGATACTACAAATATACTTGCTTTTGTTTGAAGATCTTCTGAACTGCGTGTGTCCATATACATAGCAAGCAGTGTGGGTAGCACATTTGCTACTGCAACAGCACGTGCATGCTCAGGAGTGTGTCTTCCAACCTGTCCCAAGGCCCAGGCAGCTGCTGCCTTAATATGATCTTCATGTTCTTCTACCAAGCAGGCACACAGTGGTGGTATTCCCTGCAGCATTAATCAAAAGCACAACCTTTACAAACCTACACCAGGGAAAGACAACTTGAAACTACTACAGATGGTTAGAAAATGTTTCTCTATTTACACTCTTCTTCTAAAATAAGCTGTAAGAGAATGCATGCTAGTGGTGTCATATTTTTACAAAATCATGAATAGCAAGAATTTTGAATAAATCTTAATAAACCTAGCTAAAGAAAGAAAGAAACAGATTCAATGTTCTAAGTCAGAAGGCAGTTTGAGCTAATACACAAATTTAAGGGATAAAAGGAATACATGACAATTCAGACTGCACTAAGAGTAAAGGCTTCAGCTTCGTCAGACTCAAAATAAAAGAATTCGAGTGTTTATGAATCTATGAAAGCAGTTTAAGAACAGAAGGGCTCAATTATTGAGTGGGGTTTTTTTATCCACAGCATGAAATTTCAATTTATCAACCTCTTCTTGACTCCAGTAGTTCATGTTTGACCCATCCAATCACGTCCAGAAGGTTTCAACTCTTGAATTGAAGACATCAACAAATAGAGAATACCTCCTTCACATCCAGCTGTTACTGAAGTTCTTCTGGGTCACAGTCTTTATCCTTTCTCCGCAGGATTATGGACCTACTTAGTAGCTGGTATTTTACACCAGGATACTTCAATAGGAATCATTTCATGCTACCTTAGGTAAGGCAACGCTACTGAACCTCTAACTAGAAAACCTTTTTCTCCATCCCATCGATCATTTTTTTAGTCTTTCCTGCACACTCTTCGGGTTTTTTTTCAAGATTCTTTTCAAATACAGACAACAGAACTATACACACTAGTACTACAGCTAGATTAACTTCTCTTTTCCAGTAATGCTCCATCTTCCACTCTTTAATATGGCAAAGGATTGAATGGTCCTTTTTTTTTTTTTTCTGCCAGTGCACTGCAACAGAAGACCACAATGAAATGCTTGTCCAGTATGACCCCAAAAATCATTTTTCAAAAATCATCTTCTCCAGGATACAGTATTGCAGAATGGAGCTATCACTTTACATCATAACATCCTAGATGTGTAACTGCATGTGGTTATGCCACAGTGCATTTCTTTCACATGGTTCCAGTTTACGAAGCCCTGTCCTGAGCAATATGTATCACTCCACAAGTTTAGATTACCCTGAAGCTTTTTTTTTTTTTAATGGGTTTTGAGTTTATTTGGGTTTCTTTTGTGGATCGTTCATTAAAATATTTCATGTTGTAAGAGTTTGCACAGATCCCTACAAAATCTCTCACTGCATTCCCATGCAGTTGTGGTGGCAATTACTCTTCAAAAATTTATCACTTAGGTGCTTCCTCATGAACTTAATCTTGGATTCATCCCACTTAACTTAAGCACTCAACAGCAGGAGCATATTTGCTCTAGGCAGCCCTGAAAGTGAAGAGATAGAGACACATCCAGAGAAGAAAGGCCTGCAGAGAGGGCAAGGAAAAAGTGTCTATTTAGTTAGTTAGTTTTCAAATGCAGAAGAGCATTTTTTTAATCACTCTTACCTTCCCTGCATACTTATTGATGTTGTGTTGCAACAATTTCCATTTTTTAAACTTGTATTCCTCCTAGAAGACACTTCTGTTCCTCCATTTTTATTGTTTTGTTGTTTCAACTCATATGATATATTTTAAATGACTGACATAGTGTGAAAATGAGCCAACAATGCTCAGTGAAATGACTTGCTTCCTCCTGTCATTAGTTAGCATTATTCACATCAGAATATTATGTCAGGAACTAATTTCATCTATTGCGAATATTGCAAGTTCTCTTCCTTTTACATCATTGCCCAGCAGAATTTATTTAAACCTGAAAATGTATAGCTTATCTAATTTGAAACGTCACTTGCACAACCGAATCAAACCATACTACACTAGAAACAGAAGTCAAGTCTGAAGATTTCTGTTGCAAGACTATTATAGCAGTACCAGCAGAGTCTTGATAGTGCAATGAAGAACGTGCTGTTAAATATTCTTGTTTCAAAAAGGTTTTGATGTAGCCACAAATATTCATTTTAAGAGGAAACAGACCATAGAAATTCACTGACTTATTTTCTGTACTCGTGCAATTGCAACACAGAAAAAAATCATGTACTGTAATACAAATGGATGCTCACAAACTAATCCAGGACATTTTATAAAAGGTTCAACTTCATGAAGACACACTTTAATCAGGTTACCACACAATTTCAGCCACAGCAAGCTGCAATATTAGGAGAAAGTGCATTGGTCAACAGCAAGTATACAATTCCGTCACAAAATACATTCTCTGGCTAGGTTAATTTGTATCACTTTCTCAGAATACCACTGGAGAACTACAGGAAGAAGACAAAGTGATAGCTAACCTTGGAGACAATCACTGCCATTGACAGGTTCTCCGAATGAGCTGCTACGTAACCAAGCATCATGATGCCAGGCAGTCTGACAGTCCCTCTGCAGCTGCCAATACAATCAATCACAGCGGCAACTCCACCTGCATTTACTATAAGCTGTGAAAGCTGAAAAGATAAACGGAAGAGATTAGATACTGTGAAGTATCAACAGGCATAAAGTACTACATTAGACAAGTCTTCAAATGTATTGCTCCTGATTTACAAAATAAAGCTGGACCAAAAGTAATGTTCCATATAGACTGTTGGGCACTAAGTGCAGCGTGAAGTTCTCAGGAATGAAGCTGTTTTGCTACACTGTTTTTGACTGACTTTACCGCAAGGAAATTGGGACTCTGAATTCTTGATGCTGTATAGCATGGAATGACATATTCTCAACTCCATTAGTTTACACCAAAGAATCATGCAAATGACAGCCTAAGACATGAATGCCCTTGAAGAGGCATCTAATGAGCCAGATATTCTTTCATACCAGTGCCCACCCATTCCCAAGCCAACATCGTATGTTCTATGCAGGGACAGTGGGAAAAGCCCACTCCTCTCACCTGCATTCTATATAACCTCTGCAGCATAAAAGCCTTTGTGGATCCCCCCTACTGAGGCAAAGACAACCACCATGGATGCGCAAAACCAACTTGGACTACGCCATTCTGCCACATTAGGGTATTCCGAGGCAGGTGCCCAGAAAACACACTGGATGGGCAACGGAGTTTGCCCCAGAATGCCAAATTATATAGCCTTGCTTAGAAATAATAATCATGTCCAGAGTCTATGATGCTCGCTATGTGTATCAAGCCATGCAACAGGTTCCTTTTCAACAAATATCACTTCCCATATCACTTGAGGGACAACAGTAGAGTATGTATGATATTAACAATGAATAGAAATTAAAATAATTTCATATTATTATAATTTTCTTCTATCTTGTTAGGTGTATTCACATTTTTCCCAAAGATTCCAAAGGAAAAGAAATATATTCTTAAAAGTCAAAATCAAATTAATAAAACTGAAGCATATGGATTTCCAATCCAGTTGATTTATATAAACATAAAATCCACCGTTGTCTTAAAACCTTTAAAAAGGGATTGTTTTTTTCATGAAACAGCTAGAAGAAATTTAAAGTTATTACTTAAGAAAAACTGTTCACACGATTGTGAAGTGCAGCCAGTGACAATGAAGTCCTACAGCTGAGCACAGCCGTGTACACTGAGCTCCTGCACAGACACACTCAGGCCTGGCTGCAAGTCCCCCAGATCCTGACCTTCACATGAATTCTACTGCATATGCAGATAGAGAGCCGAGATCCACAAGCCACAACGCTCACATGAGTGACACAGCCAACTCCTCTATAAATATCATTTGCCAATCTGTCTCTGCTACAACATGTGTTGCTTGAACAGAGATGGACAGAGATCACTGTCCCTCTAAAGTCAAACGTGGATTGTGACTTCCCACTGGGAGTCACCAAGATACTTCCTACAGCTCCTTTGGAGAGCTGCTAGACTGGCCGATTCCCCTTGCACAGAGGATCCTGTGCTAGCAGCTCTTCTGACTTTACCTACAGTATTGTGAGTTTGGCCTCTGGCTTCCGACTCTAGTGCCCCTCTTTGATAATGATAATTTCTTCACTTTTTTGAGAAAGTGAAGTTGCATCACTCATGAGGTACAGAGAGAAAACAGAATATGTGACCGGACTTCAACCTTTAATCACCAGCAGCTTAAAGACTAGCAGGCTGGAGAAACAGCACAATATTCACGTTTAAACATTTCTCAATTGCTAAGCTAGTATCCTGGTTTTGAAATGGCTGCACTCAGCATTAGTGTGTTCCACAAATATATTGCTTGTATTTCACTCCAGAGTCATATTTAGAGCCTTTTCATTATCTCTATGGCCTGACAGATTAACGTATTTATAATTATTTGGTTTTGCTATTTATTTTGCATTAACTTTGCCAAACATCCCCACCTTCCTGTATCAATTATTGGCAAAAAACACTGCAAATGCTGAGACTCTAATTACAAACTCAAGCCATTTGTTATATACATCACAAATACGTTATATATACCATCAGTTTAATAACTAAGAGAACTTTTGACTTTCATTGTAATTGGAAAAATAATTAAAATGTGATCCCAGCACCCCAGAAGATTTTTTAAAAAGACACACACTGTCTATTATTGTCACAGGATGATCTTGTCATTTATTAGCTGGTATCATGACTTCCATGAGGCTTTTCTCATGGTATTTTTAATATCTAGGACTGACAATACTGTCAGCCTAAAACTCTCTCTCTGCGCAGATATCTTATGGAATGAAGTAACTAGGTATACATTACATGATTCCTAGTTTCCTAACCCAATTCATATTCAATACACATCTCGTAATATCAGCAAGCATTTCCACACTTTTCCAATGAACATGCCAAACAGCTATTTGCCCTCCCTTTCAAAAAGCAAATGACAGAATAATCCTGTATTTTATTTAAAGTGTACAATCTAATGATATGACCTTGTATTTGCATTTTCAAGGTTTTACCTCAGGCGTATGCTTTGCTATCTCTCTAATTAAAGTTGCACCGTTTTTCTTGACATATTCATCTGAGTCCTTCAGGCATGTGAGCACAACTGGGAAAATTTCTGCTTCAACCACCAACTCTGCAAGATCCACTGAATGCTTTGCTATTTGGCTTAGAGCTGACAGCACCTGACGCTAGTAAATAAAAATTGTTATAAAATCAATAGTATACAAACATCCCACAACACACACTCCGCCTGCGCACAAAAATCTATTGCATCAAGGAAAACAAAGCAGGATAGGGAAAACAATTACAGCTATTTTACAATTCACTGAGTCAATTCAGGCACGAATATAATGGCACAGAACATTCGCTGGTTCCTGAATAAAAGTTTCTCCTTTGTTTTATCCCGTTCAAGCTTGCTATGTATTAAAAACGGAAAAAATATATGCCATTTAAAATTGTAATTTAATATTTAGTGAAAATTATACAAAGTCTCTTTATTTGCATAAGTTTGTTCTGTCAGACCTTATATTAAATATTTTTTATCTATTTCTTTGAAGTGGCATTTCTATGTTGTCTTCTGTTTCTGCTTTTTGTTCAGAAAAATTATATTAAGAAACAATAGCTTTGGCAACAGCTATTCACATCAGATAGCACATTCTAAAATACAGTAATACATTTAATATTAACTGGTTTATAGTATACTCTTAAGTATGCAAAACCTTTTTTGTAACTGAGTTGTGCAAATTTTATCTATTAAAAATATGTTGCATTCTTCATATACTATATAATTCAAAACAAAAATCATATTATTCACTTTAAAGATTAGTTTAGCTGTTCCTCACAGAGCAGCAGTTTTTATCCAGCAGCTAAATCCGTGAATATGTTCAGAACTCTGTCACTATGTAGCTACATTTTGTTATTGCCCAAAACAAGAGCTTCCTAAATAAATACGCACATCAGTGTCTTTGATTCAATATTAAGTAATGACTGGTATAATGGAGATATTAAAAAATAATAATTTTTAAATGTACCTTCAGTTTAGCATCAGGGTTCAGGATCATCTGAGCTAAGTGAGCGATAGCTCCTGCATCCACTACTGTCTGCGCTAACTCTGGAGAATGCTTTGAAATATCACTGAGAGTTGAAGCAGCAATCCTTTTCAAAGCAATTTCTGGCTCCTGGATACAGAGCACTAAAAGAGGAACAGCTCCTGCATCCACCACAGCTTGTGACAGTTCTGTAGGTCCAAGGAAAGTAATTAAGTGAGTATGGGTGACTGACCCTTGTGCAAGCCATTTTTCACCCTGACAGATACAGCAAAGGAAAAAGGGGAGGGTGTAGTTCACTGTCTCGACATCTGCATTTCAAATCAGCCCTCCTGGTTTCATAAACCGTGTGGACCAATCCACAACTGAAAAGAATGCAGGTCAATAGATGGACCCCCATTTACATGCACACATTTGAGGTAGATTAGGCTGAAATGGTTTGTTATTCTGTTTTCTTTTTCTTTTTTTAAAGTAAGCAGATGTCAGCTGTTTAAACCCTGGCTATTCTACACTGATCAATAGGAAAGCATTTTATGCATGGCTAACAACAACACAGAAAGCCAAAGTACCAAAATTTTACCAACCACCTAATTAGAGAGCATTTTACTCTCTTTAAATGATAAGCAGATATTAGCATAGATCAAATGCCAAAAACAGAAATACAAAAAACACACATAAAATATTTATCTTACATAAAAGATTGGAAAAATGAAAGTTGCTGATGAAAACTAGGTTTTGCTACCACACATGGGACAAGACAGAATTTATACTTTAACGACATGAAAATGTTACCCTACACAATTACACAAATGAGAAATATCATCAGTGGCATACTGTGTGTCTAAGATTAGTATAATATCCTTAAATAACTGCACCTTAAATTAAAAAAAAAAAAAAATCCGAGCATATGATTAGCTGACATGGACAAAAATTACACTATTAGAAATTCATTAGCCCTCTCCATGCATGCAGCATTAATCACAGTCTTAAAATAAGAATTACTGGATATTAGAAGCAAAATTTATACTATAACCAAGCTGTGCTATTTTAAAATAGTGTTGAAAAAGTGGTAAAAATCATGGGGGATTCAATAATCTATTAGGTTCTTAGTACAGTTTTGCTACACCTTATTATGCATATCCATTATTATCTTTAACATTTATCTTGACTTACAGTACCATGGCAACATATGGCTGTTGTATTTCAAGACTCTAACTTAGCTTTTGATTTATAGTCCATCCATAAAGAGATTTTCGTACTAAGAAAAATATAGCATACCTCATTAAATATACATAGACTAATGTAGTTTTTCATGAAATCTGTAAGTCATGTAATCATTACGTTGTTAATACCCAAATAATGTTCCTGACCAGATTTGTTTTCAATTAGTGAGTTATAGCCACATACTCCAATACATGTGATAAGTCAAATATTTACACTGTATGTTATTTTATTATATAGTAATTTAAAGAAAGTATAAATATTACCCCACAAAATCATAATAAATAATGCAGTAATTTTAAAACTAATAAAAAATTAACCCTTCAAGGTTCACTTTTCAAATAACTATTTGACTGAAAACACAGAGTGCACATCCTCCAAATACACACAAATCATTAACATTTCAACAGAATCCAAATGCTATATCTTCAGTTTTACAAATTTGAAATGAAACATATCTGAAAAAAAAAAAAAACCTGAAAATTAGTTAATCAATATAAGTGGTATAAGCTACCTTCAGCTTTTCATGGAAAAAGCCATATTATATTTCTTCAAATTGTATTTTGATGCTGTATGCTGACTAAGTGGAATACGTCATGAACTACTGACCAACAGTCCAGATTAATCCATCCGACTGTACCTCTGAAGCAACTTCAGAGCAACCAACTCAATTGCCTAGAGTCTGCTCGGAGATACTAATATCAGGAAAATCACATCAAGAGGAATGGGATACTACTAGAAGAACGGGTTTCATTGATGTCTTACAAGCTGAAATCATGAAGTTCAAGTAGAGAGAGAAAGAGCAATACTTTAAGGTCACAGCTACGCTCAGGCATGCAAAAGTAACCGTAAAAGTTACTCTGAAAGAGCAAACAATCTGATTCAATTTAGATCAGCTCTTGCTGTTAGAAGTCTGATGTCATTTAAATACTGATGGTTACTGTTGGTCATGGTTAATCAAATGGTTGTTCTTCCAGTGGTGTTTATAAGGTTCATGGCTAATAACTTACCACATGGATGGCTGGACCATATGTCAAAAGACAGACAAGCAGTAAATGGACCGTCAGAAAAAAAGGAAAGCTGAACCAGGGACAAAAGAAAATACAGATCTTCCCATCACATTCCTCTGCAAACTCAGCCCAAAACTATGATTCTAAGTATTAATGATTCCTTTATAATTGTAATTATTTTTTCGCAAAAAAAGATGCTCAATTAACCCTCCCACTTGGTAGAACATCTTTAATTCAGACTCTACACCAAAGGATTCACAAAACTTTGCTATTTGATTACAAAACACAGACAGAAGTGGAAAAAAATGAGGGCTGAGAAAGAGTTAAAGGAGAAAATACCATTGTCGAGATGAAATTTTTAAAAACAAATACTCAGTCAAAGAAATTAAAAGAGCTGGAACAAATTACAAAAAGACTTTTCTGAGCATTACACCAAGACTGCATTATAAGGGCAAAGACAAGACCAATAGCTGAAGAGGCGGAAGACAGCAGAGAAAAACTAATTTATGAACATCATTTAATTCCACAGAAAGTTATGAATACCCTGGGCCTTGAACTTCAGATGGGTACAGCTCAAGGAACGTGTCCAACTACATGATGATAAAAAGTAGGACTTCCCCCTACATGAGTGAAAATAGGAAATGTTATTCTATGTATGCTCAGAGACAAGAGAGCTAAGACTCAAAACTCACCATAAATTAGTTGCTTTTGTCCAGAACAATACGAGGGAGATTTTAGCAAATGGAGATACAGCAGCCATAAAGAGACTGATACGGAGGTAGAAGACAGACTGATTAAGACAGATTTTGGCATTTAAGATGTCACCAGTTCAACTAGAAGTTGTACTAAAGTTGTACTGGTTTGTCTCAATATAAAAGTACTCATCAGGGACTAAGAAATTAATTCAAAGTTGTGGCCTAGTCATGAGTTTATGTGATCAGGAAGAGCAAAGAGGCGTCAATAAGATCCTGACTACATATCCGCTGAATTCAATGGGAAGTCTTACAGGAGTCATCTAAACTGGTTTAAGATGTTGAAAAAAAAAAAATCCCTACTAACATTAACATGTTGGCAATAACAGTATGTATAAAAGAACGATTAGGGAGAAAAGATGAAGGTGAGAAAGTGAATATGCAAGTAGCCCCAAAGAAGGAAAATCAGCTCTGAACAAATGCCACATTCACATAGTGGAGCAGCAGCAAAACTTTCTTTGCTTGGAAGCAAATGCAAGTTTAGTCCAGACCAGGATTCTCAAATAGACCCTGCTGTAGCGGCAGGTGTATACACAGGAAATAACAGGTTTTGACCAAAACAACCACCAACACTGAATTTTTCTGAGGACTGTGTGATGATGTAACAGCCACATAGGAAGACTCTAATCCCTACAAGTAATCCAAAGGCTGTACTTCAAAATCACAGTTTTATGCAGACTGCTACAACCACAGTGCTAAAGATTTCACTGGAACCAGTGGAAAATCAGGAGAAGGATGGAGGTCACTAATTATGGGGCAAGCTCAGATCCTGGAATCAGACAAAGTTACTGCTAGTCTCAAACCACTGAAGAGCTGAGCAACCTGGTCTAACCTTGTAGCTGACCCTGCTTTGAGCAGGAAGCTGGACTAGAAACCTCCCGAGGTGCCTTCCAAGCTGAGCTATCCTATGATCCTAAGACTACCACTGTATGACAGAAAATGAGCATAACCCCCCTTTCAGCAATATGCTTGAGTATAAATAGTGTTGTTTATTTTTGTTTTCCAACCAGTTTACAATATGCTGAAGCAGGTAAGAGATGATTAACAAGTTACACCTTTTAAGTAGGCAAAGCAAATGGAAAGCTAAGTTATTGACATGTCTCAAACAGAAGAACTTTGCATTTTAAAAGTAACTGAATACGATATAAGTAAAAATTTACAAAATATTTTTCACGGACCTGGTGGTATTTTGATGGTATTTGAAACACTTTACACTTCTTTTCAAACACAAATAGTAGAAATAATGAATGACAAAATTACAGCACGCTGTAATACTTTAGAGTAAGATTAGCGTCTGAAATTCAGCTCAAAGGGATCTTCAGAAAAAAGCAGAACTGCAAGAGCTGATCCTAAATTTTGGAATCTGATCTTGCAAGATTTCTAGTATCTTGAAATCTTGTAAGACATCTGTCTTGACCTAAAACCTCACAGGCCTTCTGGAGACATCTGTTCACAGAGGAACTGCATTTTAAGAGATAGTTGTATGAAGACAGTATGAAAACCAGAGAATGTTCATCAGGAAAAAAAAAAAGTAGTCTTGATTTCTTAAAATAGAAGTCTTTGCAGGGGAACATACACCGCAGGTCCTAGAGCACAGCTTTACCAGGTCATGGATGGAATTTCTGATTAAAAGCAGAAAGACCCTCCCATTGCAAACAGTTATCACCGAATGCTGGAAGACTTTGCTTGCATTCAGGGAGTCAGAGGTTCACATCCTGCCTAAGACAGATCAGGACTTCAATCTATCTCCCACATACATCCCAGACATATGCCCTGATTATTGAACTTTTCTTGCTGGGGTAAATAAGCCTCCCTACTCTTCTCGGGAAGGAAAAAAAACCCACTGTCTTAATGTCGTCCCAGTTTGGAACTGAAACAATTTTTGAAACTGAAAAATCTTTCGTGGGTGGGGAAAAACATTTCACACCCAAATCTAAAAATAGAGTTGAAGCTGCAACATGTGTCCATAGACAGTCAATGACAGAAAATCATAACTGCCAGATTTTTTCAACACAAGCATGTGAGTCTAATCCAGAGTTTCTTGAACAGTAAACATCAAATGTCGATAAGAACAGGTCCATCTATCTTTGTATCCCATCAGCAACAATATCCTATTGCAATAGTATGCTTGTAGGAGTGTAAGAAACATACCATGCACAGTGATCTTTCTTCAGTATAACTCTTCTACTTTCAGTAATCATTTTAGAGACTCCCTGTGACTGTGTTATAGAGGAAGGTAAATCCCCAAATTGGCCATAGCTGGGCAGAGGATGAACAATTTTTTTCAAGGTTTGGCTTGGTTTGGTTTGGTTTCAGGGGGGCGGTTTAACTGATTACATCTAGTGACCTGTCTATGTCCTGATGCTCGTAGCTTGGTAGCACTCACAATTTCAATCTAATTTCTGAAAATGCCATTCTTATTTCTGGCATAAATTGATGTGAGACATGCACCCATTCACTGCCAGTGAATAAATAATTCATAATCATGGAATAAAAACTTGTACAAGCAGCTTGTTGTTCTTCAATACTCCCACATCACCTCCATCTTTGCAAACAATGCCATCACAGTGAACTGGATCACCCTAAAGACCAGTCAGCATTCATGCAATGAATAGCATGAAGGGCAATTGAAGTGAGTCAATATTGATTTACTGACATAACAAAACTACAGAAAGGTTTATGTTAAGAGTAACACAGACACACACTTACACTACACACATTTATACAAAGGAACATTTTTAAATGACACTTAAACAAATATCTTTAAGACGGAAGCAACAATTATTTTTCACCAAGGGTGGGATTCAGACCCAGTAACCAGAAGATAAAAGATCTCTAGCACACAGAGGTGCCCCAAGAATGAATTTTTTCCCTAGAAAAAGCAGTCTGTTAGGAAGGTGCTGACAACTTTGGAATCTGCCCCAGTAATTTAACCCTCTCTCTACGTGGGAAGGGGAAATCCCCCATGCCTTCTGCAGTCCAACACTCCATATTGCTTAAAAAAAAAAGAAAGAAGAAAATCACTTCAATCTGTGTACATTTCAAAGCCAAAACTAAACATAAATGCATAAGTTAATGTTATGATCCTAGAACAGGTTTAACTTTAAAAAACATGAACACAAGTAATTTCTCCCATCCTTTCCAGCCAGCAGTTTCTTCCCTCTGTTCTTTGATTCATAGCTCTAAATTTTTACTTGAACTATAGAAATAGTTGGTAAAAGAATTACCAACCACATGGATCAGCTTTTAAATAGGAACATGACACTGCCAGTAAGTTATACAACTGCTTGTGAGACAGCAGTGAACTGCTCGATATCGGATACCTAGGATCTATTCCTGACTCTTAGAGAAGAGTGTGGTCTACCAGCTAATGGTAATACAGTCAGTGCAATGAATTTGGCACGTTTATCCCACAGGCACTGCTGTAAGCTGAATGAAACTTGGTTTTGCCTAGGCTTCTCCTTTTTACTATGTATATAACATAGGAACTAATGTCAAGCAAAATAAACTTTGTTCCACATAACAGTTACACAATACATAAAGATTCTGAAATTCCTTCAGGAAGGAGAACAAAGCAGAGTGTCCTTTCCTGGCCACAGGCCTAATGCACCTCCTCTTACGGCACCTCTCATAACCAGGCACTGCTGATGTCAGATAAGCCAGTTTCCCACAAAAGGTACCATATTGTTGGGTTAGTACAGTTAGAGTAGGTATTTATTCCAAATTTAAAATTTTTTAACAGTAGAAAAGAAAAAGCATCTTGTTCTATTTATGAACATTACAGTAATGCAATTTATTATAACTCTTACATTGCAATAAGCTGAAAGATAACACATGTGAAACCTGTTACCTGAATTGTGTCGGGCAATATACCCGAGAGCCCAAGATGCAGCTTCTTTGACTCCAGGGTCAAAATCTTCCAAGCAAATCACAAGCATTTCCAGTGCTCCACACTGAACTACTGCCTGAGCTAGCTGTGGAGAACGTTTACCAATCGCTCTTAGCACAAATGCAGCTGCTTTCTTGTAGAAACGCTATACAAATCAGAAATAAGATAAAAAACCTTTTACTAACATTAAGTAATTCAAAGCATAATACAGTACAGATATGCATAAATTGGACTTTTTTAGTACCAGCAATATCTCATACAAATCCAAATCAGGACCACTAAACCAGACATCACACAATGAACCTTACAGTCCTTCTTTGAGACAGCTCATGATCTAAAATTTGCAGTATGTGCATAAACAAATAGAAAAAATGTGAGGGCTAAGAGGATATGGGGAAAAGATAATAGTCTAGATAAGGCTGTTTGTTTAAGTGAGTAGTGAATGATAAGAGCTGCAAAAACAATAGCTCTTAACATATTTCACCAGATTACACAGGTTATGCAGGGCAAGCTCCTAAAATAATTCTACCCATCTGTGACACTTGCAAGATTTCACAATTTCTAATGTATATACCCCTCACAACATCTCTATGAGAAAACATTGTTTACATTTACAAACAGGAAACAGAGGCACAGAGCACTAGATCCAACAAAATGGTTTAGAATCTGAATCCTGAAATGCCTAAATACTGCCTAAGTGCAGCTAAGATCCTGAAAATCCATCCCACTAAACACCCAACACTGGATGACCCTCATTTTTGACCAGGATTTTGCCTGCAATTCTACTCCTGCATGCGTCCAGAAACAGCTCACTTTCAACAGGCACCTAAGCAGCCTGGCACCTCTGTTACAAGTTCAAGCAAAATCCAAGCACTTATCCCAGTTCTACCCATCTCCCTCAGTGCAGGACCAAATACATGTTTTGAGCATATATACATAACGTATGATGCTGTGCACATCATGGTATCCCATGTAAACTACAGGGGTGGTTGTGGTGTCTGTTAAAAGCACAGTTGAAGTCTTCCCCCCCAGAAGTCACATTTCAGTCTCCTGCTGTCATTGGGATGTGGAAGCTAAAGATTAAATTTCTTCCCCTGCCTTACAGTTTTGAAATCCAGAGTCCAGCTAAAGCACTCCGGCCACAGACAACTGTGTTGGGAGAAAGACAGTTCATCTTCCTCTTGAAGCCACTGTACAGCAACGAGTGTGAGATTCATTGGGACACAAATAACCTACTGCTATGTCCATGTGGCCAGAGTACGCTCTCCAGCCTGGCAGGTGACAGATCAGCCCTGCAGACTAGCTCCAAAGGGTTCGCTCTCTGCATACCTGCTGGCTTTAATCTCATTCCAAGATGCTTGCTTCTGCCCTGCTCTGCACAGGGAGCCTGGGCACTTCACAGCACTCGATTCCTACTGCCAAGGTACTCAAAACTTAAACAATACAAAGCCCACATCCCTTTTGGATCAAGTCCAGAGAAACAAAGAAGCACGTGAGTGCTTTTGTGCATCCTGTGAGGTACCCAAACACCTTTGAAAGGTCTGATCTAAAGCACTAAGGCATGGCAACACAGGAGTATCTGCTGTGGCTCCACATAAAGTGAAAGGGACCCAGGTACACTCCCTGGCGCTGGAGCGAAGTGACACAGCATGCCACATCCTCCACCTAAACTCTTCCCTCAAAGCAGAGTGGCCTCATCTATACTACTGGAAACTGTCCCCACTTTGTGCCATTTCCTAAACCATGTCTAGGCATTGCCAAGTAGTCTGATGGTTGGCATCAGCTAAAACCACATCAGAAAGCACATTAATGATGAAAACACAGTCATCTTCCAGTTCTCAATCACATGCCCTGACCCTGCTTAGTTTACCAGTACTGATATAATTCCTTAATGTCAAAAATCCAGTCTTCCAAGTTAAGGCTACAAGCAGGTACATTAAACATAATTTACAAGTAAAGCATTAAACACCATTTAGGAGGAACAGAAGTTAAGGGAAACAGTGCAAACAAACATTCAAACCCCTAGCTAATGCAAGTTACTCTAAGTTTTGCTGAACTCAATGGAGCTATAGTTGTTTACACCAGTCTATGCCTGTGCAAGTATGGGTATGATATTTCTGTTAAGTAATTATGCTCCTGGCAAAGAAAAACACTTGTTCTTATTATTCAAAACACATTTATTTACAAACAAACTGTGTTCACAGGCACAGTCAGAACACACTGTAAAACTCTGTTCTGCTCAGTTTCATTGACAAAACATTCATCTGGGCTGTGATCCTTTAACTGTTCTCCGTAAATCAGCAGAATCCATACCTACCGTGTGCTCAAAGAATCTCCTCCTTAAATGTAGATGTTGATACACAGAGTGAGTGCAATGGAAACGTATCTGAGTTGGGTTTTTTGCCTATGGGAAGTAACAAACTGCATGAATTGCTAAACTCTGCATGAACTGGATAATGAGTTTCCTTCACTTGCCCTCAGTCACCAAGGCATAGTAGGCTTTCCATGACCTCACACTAATCTTGCTGCTGCCCCAAGTGATTCTGAATTACAGCCATCTCCATGTAAGACAGCACGGGCAGTAACATGGAAGAGATAAATCAGAGTACTAAAGCTAATTTAGTGAGGGCTTTGAGTTGTAGCAGGGGGTGGTTTCCAACTCAAAAACAGAGGATAAAGAGCTTTGTGCTCCTTCTTCCCTTAAAAATAGAAATAAAATAACCAAAATGTTTATAAATTTGTCTAACTAAAACCTTAACTTTCTTTCCAAACTATACCAGTATCTTGAAGCTGAGGTTTTTCTTTGTTTTTTTTTTGTTTGGTTGGTTGGGTTTTTTTAAGATTAATTGTATAGGCAATGACGATATACGCAGAGAAAATATGCAATGAGTACTCACGTTTATGTTTTCTTCAAAAGATTGAAAAGACATAGTTTTCCAAATTACATTTCCATTTAAATCCTACTTCTCCTAAACCTAATAAATTGAAACTGCAGCCTAAGTATGGCTGTGATAGCAATGCACTTAACTCTCAGCTGTCTCTTTTTCCAGTTATTAGAAACCTTAAAGTATTTCTGTTAATCTAGGTTAGGATCACTGGAAAATCAAAGCTGAAGAAAAATGGCAAGAAGGGAGAAAAAAAAAGAGCACCAGATTTATTTGCATTGCAATCATGACAACACTTTCTTGTTGTTCGTTTTGTTGTCGTTAGTTTCGTGTTTGGTTTTTGGTTTTTTGGTTTTTTTTTTTATACAAATATGAAGATGAAAACCTTTCAGTGTATTTTCCTGTGTCAGTGGTTTGATATTTCTCATACTACAGATTTCTAAAAGGTTATATTTGGAGATATTAAATATCTCATTACAGAAGTTCAGATTTTTGTACGTATTTTACAAGTGTTTGGTATTATCTATAAATCCTATTCAATTATCACTACAGTTTTCAAATTGTCTCACTTTCGAAGAAGGACCTTTTATGAAGCATCACTCGACATTTCAAAAACATAGTAGTACTATGAACGGATTTTTTTTACAGTGCACTAAAAGGTAAGACGACATTTTAAAGTCAAGCTTATTTAAAGCCAAACTTAGGCACACGGTACACATTGATCTCTCAGGAGTTCAACCATACATGATGTCTCTGACTTCAGCACATTTATTGCTATATTAGAATAACAGCAGACAGCTGATACAGAAAGATTTCCCTGTGCAACAGTTAAAAAAAAATGATTACTTAAGAAAACAATGCCGCCTTACATTCTGCTCAGACAAAGAACACACGAGAAGTGGAAGAATGTCTCCCTTCACGATTGCCTCTGCCAGGTCGTCGTTATAATTGGCAAGTCTCCCAAGAGCCAAAGCAGCAGTCTGTTGAATAGTTGGGACGAAATCCAGCAAAAGAGGTCTCAGCAAAGACATTACACCTGAGTTACACCAGGAAGAGAAAAGCCCATTTGGTAAGCTGAAATTTTTATAAACATTTGCCTTTATTCATAAAAACCTATTAAATTACTCTTTCAGGTAATAAGAACTTGTAGGAAATCCAGGTGTTCCACTGAAATGAAGTCAGCACTTGGATAGCACTGCTGATGCATAGCAATGTTTCTGCCCATTTTTCATAGGTACAAAACACTTCTGAAATATAAAAAAGTGTCACATGTAAAAATAAGCCATATTCAAACATCTATAAAACACATGTTAAAGCATACAGAAGACAATAACATATATTCAAACACATATAAAATACATGTGTTAAAAACGTGCACAGGAAATGACACTGGCATGTGACTCATTCAGCATGCCAGTAGAACCTCTATGTTGAATTACATCAAATTACATTTCATCTATTATAAGAAATTATTGATTTGGGGACCAATATCCATAATATGTTACACTCCAGATAGAAGAGTTGAAGATTTTATCATGTTATTATTTATGATGCATTTTCACTGATGAGTTCACAGTGTATGAGTTAAACAAGAAGGAATATGGAAGGCCATTCTCTAAGGTGGTGTTATAGTACATACTTGAAATTATAGGTGAGGTAAGGCTGTGACGTGAACCATTAGCAGTTACAGCCTCTGAAAAGTCCTTACATGGATAAACATCTGGCTAAAAATAGGAAGTGGGAGGAGTAAATTTTCCATTCTTGCAACAGGAGGGAGGAGGTCACAATGCAGTTCTGCAGGCCTCCGTGCTGGGACATGAGCCATTCAGTATTCATCTATGATCTGGAACAGCATGGACAGCGAGTGAGACTTTGCTGGTGACTCAAAGTTATTCAAGGTAGTAACAGTGAGGGAACAGTAAGGAACTAGAGACTGAATGACTGGATAACAAAATAGCAAGTGAAATAAAACGCATATGGGGAAGCCAATCCCAACCTCTCATATGCAGTGACGAAACCCAACAGATCACTACCACCCAGGAGAAAGATCTCCATGTTAGAACAGACAGTTCCATGGAGATACCAGCTCATTGCTCAGTAGCAGAGGAGAAACTTCACCCACAGAAGTATACAGAGAGCTCAGGATTATTTGGAAAGGAAATAGAGGCCAAAGCAGGGACCATCGCTATGCTATTATATAAATCTACACTACATTTAATACCCTCCCCAGAGCAGAACTGGAAGAGGTTCAGTGAGAGGCAACAAGGATGATCAAAGATTACCACTCTGTATGTGGATGCTCTTCCTACAGTTAAACTAAGACCCTTCGATAGGGATATAAATGAGATCCACATGGTTACATAAAAAAATATAATTTGTACTGTCTAGGAAGGGAAAAATTACTTGTACTGAGATTCCTCGAAAGAGCTGTCACTGTACCAGCCAGCTGCATGAATTAATACTTCTGAGCTTTATACCTCAGCCAGAAAGCAGTGCTCTCTGAAGATGCAGGAGCACTACAACAGAACACCAAACACTCAGAGCTACAGTCAGAAATCTCCATATCAGCTGTCTCAGTTCTTTCCACTACATTTTTTTGCTAAGGAAGATAAAGATTTAGCTGGGTGACTGTGGGAAAAAGCAACACTTCCCTTCTTAAGGGCTGGTGTGGTTACAAGCACTGAACAAAGGTCTTTTGGTGTGACAGTCCCACAACAGTGGGATCACTGCCTAGTGGCAGATGACATGCAGGTGTTGAACAGGCACACCATGACAAGGAAAAGCCTCAGAGCAAGGAATAGTCCAAAGGGATGGAGGCTGTAACAAGTTACACCCATAGAGTACTTCTGTATAGAAGGGCACCCTGAAAAGAAAAACAGTAAGTTGAGCAGCAGTGTAATTCTCACAGAGAACGTTTATTTTAAATGAAAACCAAATTGCTCCCAGCAAGAATAAAATGGCCTAATAACCTACACACGGCTCTGAAAGGGTGGGGGGGAGGTGGGGGGGAATAAAACTAACCATGAAGGCCATGATGACCACTAAGTAATTTGCTCTGGGAAGGTCAATACTCCAGACAGAAGCTGCACTGCCATGAGAGGTACAGCCTCCCAGGATGTTCATAAGTCGGGGGGCACACAGTAAAAGAGGAAAGTGAAATGAAATAGTGATGTCTAATACCGCTACAGGAGCGCTAAAGATAGAATCATAGAATGGTTAGGGTTGGAAGGGACCTTAAAGATCATCTAGTTCCAACCCCCCTGCCATGGGCAGAGAAATCATCCACTACACCAGGTTACAAAGATGGCTTTGTAACATGCATTAATTGAACATGTACATGCAGAACCTATGGAAATAGGTCTGTAGTATAGCTGGGGCCTGCTCGCACCTCTGTTAAAGCCACTGGAGGTGAAGGAGGCCTCCTGTGCACCAATGGACAAAAGCTAGATCCTCCAGTATTGTAAGATCGATGTGAATTCATTTAGCACTTTGCAGAAAACACTACTTCAGAATGTGGTCATCATACTGACATCTCACCAACTCTCCCAAATAGCAGGTATGGTCTCATTAGCAAGTCATGCTTCATATCAAAATGCACTAAGTACTTTGTATGAAAAATTAAAAGTAAAACCAAACAAACGTATGAGTTGGGATCAATCCCATATATCATCTATAGGGAGATATCTTCTAGCAAGTCACCTGCATCCTCTGAGGGAGAGCATTTTCTTGTCCTTCCCTCTAACATCAGTTGCATGGTCAAACAGCTGCTGAAATTCCTAAGGGGACCTCATGCTGTTCTGACTCTTCATAATGAAGGTATGTCAGTAAAGCAGGACCAGTTAGAAGTAGTGCACTTGTATTTAGTATACAGATATTACATTTGAGCCTTTAAGTTGAGATAATATGAAAACAAAATTATTTAATAAAGATAAACATGAAAAAGAAATAAAAGTTATATTGATATAAAAGATGCCGTTAGAAGGGGTTAAGGGAAAAAAAGGAGCACCTCAAGTGTGCAGCATCCTGACCCTAGAAAAGCCAAGAGCCCGATGGGTGGGACATTCAAGCAGGATGTGGCAGATTGTTCAATTCTGGTGATGGCCTTGAAATCCAGTGAAATTTAAGCAGACTAGAATCACTTTACCCAGGAGGAATTCATGAGCTAGATCCAGACCACGTGACATGTTTCTGGCCTGCGTGACATACCTAGACACTGCAAATGTAAAACCACATTTAAGAAAGGTTACCTATGCACATACTTTGAGTTATTCCAAATATGAGATTTATATAATTTGTATTTTCAAGATGAGCTGATATAGATTTCACTTTTAGAATAGGCTAAAAAGGCTTGAGCCTGAAAATGCTTTTAAGCAGCGTGCCTCCCCATGACCAATACCATTCATTTCACTGTGGTATAAACCACATAAAGCTTGGTGATGACATTTAAGTGTCAGCACAAATGTTCCACCGCAAATTATTTTAGCTGATGAAACTGAAGGTGAGGAAAGAGATGAAAAGTGAAATGAGAGTTATTGTTTGAAGAAAAGACCCAAGATGCTAAAACAGAGTTGAAAAAACAGTGAATAGATGGAAAAGGTTTAGAAATAATAGAACTGTGCTGATCCTCAAGGAAAACATATTTTCCCAAAGTGACGCCTGCATGTGAGAAAAGACAGCGAACAATTATTATGACAGGAGCTTCGGTGGAACAAGAAAAAGAAAAATCAATTCCTGTTGCTGTACAAGCCTTATATTGACAACAAATTAACTGAGAAACCAGAGAAGTCTATAGGCCTAGATTATGCCTGTGCGTTGAACATAATTAAAAGCTTCTACCTCTACTTCCCACTTTTTCTAAAACCAGTTTCTTTCTCTGCACCAAGATGCTATCTTTCATCTCCAACTCCTCTGCAAGATCAACTGCTTGAGGAGTTTTCATCATTGTCATTATTTTCACATCTTCAGCAAACTGAGCATTTCTCTCTTTACAGCACTTAGAAAAAATAAACAATTAATTCAGAGAGTGCGAAAACAGCTACACAGAGATTATATGACCTTCACTAAAACATCTATAGGAAAACCAAGACATCCACCTTTCCTTCTTTGACTTTTGAAGATAGTGCTGGAAAGGACAGATGTGCCTGATGCAGGAAGAGGCTTTCCTGTCCAACCCAGCTCTTTCTTCCAGACATAGCTGTATTCGATGAGCTCGTCTATTTGGTTTCTTTTGACTGTCATTCAAACTTCTTTAACATTATCTCAAGGCAGGAAAATAGGTAAGAACCTTCCAACAACTTCCTTTTATCTCTACCATTCACTCAAGTGAACAAAGTTATACAGAGCAGGGAGTAGCAGTGTCTTGCTGCTGAAAACTTTAGGAGAACTCTTTGGTAGTCTTCTAAATAAGTCTCTTGTGCGAGAAGCAGGAAGTTCATTAACTCTAATTCAAAGGCAGCAACACAGAAACTAAAACACAAAATAAAGCATTTATACCATTGGGCTAGATTTGTTTTGGAAGAGTTCCCACTAGCAACTGAGTAACAGAGTAAGAAAGAATCACTGCCAAATATTCTCTCTTGCATCACAGAACCTTGACTGATCTTGGGCAAGGAACGATTCCCCTTTCTATCCTCAGTTTCCCACTCAGATTTGTTTCCAAGAATGACACACTTTAGAAGCTGAATCACCCTTATACACACTTCTCAAGAGGAGCTGTAGTGCCCAGGCCTGATGCACTTTTTTTAGCAAACGCTCACTACTGCCTGTCTGGGAAAAACGAAACAAAACCAAACAAAACACAACACCAAACCACTCAGGACAGCAGCAGGTTCCAATTTTTTCCATTCCAAGTTTCTGTAGCCAAACAGGCAGTCACTATTCTGGAGATAGCAATCTTCATTTGGTCATTTTAATTTCTTTGGGAAAACGACCTGGAAGTCAGGCAGAATCCCTCTACGTTCCTCCCACCCCTGCCAAACTCTTGTCAAACTTGACTAGTCACAAGTCAGAGAAACATTAAATTTCAAATTCTCTCCATTTCTGCACCTGAAGATGACCACTACTACCTTATTCTC